TGGATTGGCCGCTGGGATCCCAGCGTGCCTGCGCCTGTGGCTTGACTCCTGTTTCCTGTGTGCGGGGTTCCCTCTCTTTATTTAAGTGGAAAGGGCAGAAGGGCCTAGAAAGTCTCTAAGCTCTTGTGTACACAGATCATGCCCTATTGCTTACTGTTAGAAACTTTACTTCCAGGGATCATTTCTATAGTTTGAAATTTAATGTTTACAGTTTGAAATTAGGTTATTTCTCCACTCTAGAAAATTTATAAAATACTGAACATTAAAAAAAAAAAAGGTCACCTGGTGACTTAAAGGCCTCCCCCTTTCCAAACAACAGAAAATTCTAGTACTCTTAAGAAGCTGGATGACTCACAGTTATATTCAGGTTGTTGTAAAGTCTTTCTGTGCTCTTTATTCGTTTTTCCATGGAAATATTAATGTGTGATTTTAGCTGAAAGTTGCTTAATGAAGAATGGTTTTGGTGTTCAGGACATTCGCTTTTCTTAGATATTAATTGCAGTATTTCCTTGCTTTGCGGTTTGCTTGCAGCATATTTTATATATATACATATACATATACACCACTTTTGTATTTTTTGATACCCGGAGCTCTTCATGACTTCTTCCATTCTTTTTTTTTTTTTTTAACTTGGCACCCTTTCAATTCGTATGGATTTGATTTTGATATGCGATGTGATGTTTCCATTTCTGAATAGTTAACCAGTTACACCAGCACCAGTGTTTGGTTTCGATTATTATTTTGACAGCTTTTTTGTGACACCACCTTTCAGGAGATAAATACATATTTTACTTCTAATGCATTCCCAAAATTTAATTACTTGAGTTTTAGTTGTAGATTGATGAATTTCAGTTGGCATTTGTACAGTGTGCATTTTATTTGGCCACTTAAGCAATTTTGAGTAATAACTTTACTTCTCCAGCTTTCAGTTTCTTACTACTTTTTTTTTGCACGTGTGATTTTTATGAGATTACAAACTGACTTCCTGTGAGTCATATTTGATCTGTAAACATAAATTTGTTTGACTTGCTTATGTTAAATAAAAAAAAAAGCTGCCATCATTTAAAAATCATTGGACTTTTTAGCTGTTTCCGAAAAATTGGAGGATCTGTGTGATCTGGATACCCGGCCTGTATTTCCACGTGGCAGAAATCTGCTGAGTGGTTTTTATAGCCGCCTGCATTGAGTTAGATTTGGGCTATCTGCCTTCTCCCTCCTTCACTGTGTTCGGCCTCCAGCTTGCTTATGAATTGTATACTACTGCCTATCTCAGATTCACTAGAGTTCGTTACCCTATTTTATAAAACTTGGCCCTTAATAGAGCTTTAAAAAATATATATATATATAGATGTATATCTGTATATATCTCCATGTGTCTGTCTAGGTGGATATACACATCATGGATATATAGAGGTTGTGTGTGCGTGTGTGCATACATAAACAGCATGAGCAAGAGCGAGAGAGTGCTCTCTCCATCCCTGGTACTTGCAAGAGAGAAAGAGAGAGTGAGTGCTCTCTCCATCCCTGGTACTTATGTGTGTTTTATGGGAGAAAAGCGCACCATTCTTCGTTGAACGCTCACTGGACATCGTCCTTTTTAGAATTCCTGTTATTTCAGCACAAAAAGGCTTTTGTGCACAAGAACACAACACAATTCTGTACTGACAATTGCTAAGAGCACATGCAGGAAGAAAGAGTTGTATCTAAGATTGGAAAACAGCAAAGTGGGTTGGCTTCGTGACTTCAGTGCAGCCCATGGGACGGATGGATTTCCAGTGGCTGGTGGGCGTACTGCTGCTTCTGGGCGAAATTCTTTCTTCACAAAGCCTAGCGGTCACCCCTCTCGTTCATTCCCACTCGACCCCATGAGGCATTTCCATCCCCCGCGGTGGCTGGGTCCGTGGGTGTTGTGACTGCCCAGGCCCTGTCACCGCTTCTCTGCCCTGCTCTGGGATTCAGATGAAGTCCAGGGAGTGAAAGTGTTTGCAGAATTCCTGCTAAGTGGTCACCGCCCAGACGCACGCCCCCTAACGTGAGACTCTCCGTAGCTGTGGTGTGTGGTCTCTGCAGGCCACGTGGCCTGACATGTATGTTTCAGGAGTGCGTCACTGTTTAAAACAGTTTGCTGTCCCGCTCTTCTGTTAGTCTTAGTTTATTTTCTGTTCTTAAAATAGTTGAAGAACATAGTGATGAAGAGCAGAAAGAGATTAACTCTATATTAATGCCTTAAACATTTAGTAGCTGTCACTGAAGCCTAGGACATATAGTAGAATGCTTGTATGAGTGTGACTTTTCACATGGTAGGTGAATTGTAGGGCCACAGCATCGTAGGCTTGGATCTAAGACTCTGCTGGTACCGGGGCCTCCTGGGTGGCACGAGGGGTTAAGTCTTAGCCCCACAAGCTTTCAGCTGCCACTGCAGGGTGAGCTTGATCCCCTGGCCAGGGCTGACCCACATGGCCCAGCAGACCCTCTGTCTCCTGCCGCTCCCCTCAGCGGTGTATTTCAGTACACCTGCCTGATCTGCTCCCCACTCTGTCTCTGCCCCCCCCCCCACCTCTGGCTACACCTCAGCTTTTGTATGCATAAATGCATACATCTGTTTTCAGTGGGAGAACAAGGAATAGGCCTTGTAAATGTTTTGTCCCTCCAAAGCCGTGCATGGCTAGCTTGTAATTAATCTGGTGTAAAGCAGGAAGAGGCATCAGCTCTGAGTCTCTCTCCTCCGTCAGTGTGGGGTGACTAAGGGTTTTCAGATGTGTTGGCCGAGGTTCTGCCCCAGGCTCTCTAAAAAGCAGTACGTAGCCCCTTTTGGTTAAGAAACTATGATAGATGTAAAGTTGAATTCATGTGCTTTTTAAAATCTCCTTGGTTAATAGGAAAACGATGTAAGAAAGATAATTAGGTCTCTGATAATTTTTACTTTAGGAAATAGAGATGGGAAGG